TATTACAATATTTCGCGGCGCCCAGCTTGGGAATCACTAGTTTAGGATAGAAGGATTATCTTCTATTTTACTATTATTATTGTGCGACTTCGAGTTTAAAGCGCCCTACTTTAGCTGATATAACGTCTTCTACTGCAACCTTACAATGCTGACTTATGTGACTATTAAATAGTATGTCTATCAGATATGCAGCAAAAACAGCCAGTGGCAGGAAAATACTTTCGACATTTTGGAGAGTTCGAAAAAGCAGGGATTGAGGAGGCATTATTTAGCCGCCCTCATTCTGTCATAGAACTGGTTCAGCCAATTTACGATCGCAAACGCCTGTCTGGCGTAATGTTCAGACAATATAATGTCGTTTGATCGGATGTGCTCCCTTCAGTAGAAACGTGAATTGGCAAAATTAATCAAGGTCTACTGATACTAACAAGATAGTGAAAAATACTTGCGGAAATCTCAAACAAAGGCCAGACTTTAAGGAGGAAAAGGTAGATCCATGGAAAATGGGCAGCTCAAAACGTAGTGAATTTCATTGCATATGCTCATGACAACTGGAAAGGAATAAGGAATGGGCATTCAATGAGAGAAATTGTTTTAGAACTGAAAGACTGGGTTTTTTATGTGGTTAATCGAGCCTCCCCCTCAACTATAATATGAGTGAAGTAAACATTTTCGTCCAAATAGAAGTTGTTTGACCTTGTTTTCGCGACTTGGTCATATTGGTAGGAAGACCATTAGGAAAGCACCTTGTCCCGAGTCCATTGTATGCATAACTATTTCCAAAGACGGACCGTGGACGCAGTACATTCCCAGACGTTTCGCCGGCATCGTCAGTGAGTTTTGCCATTCGTAGGACGACACAACAACCCGTCAAAGAGACAAGTGAAGCCGATCCTTTGACCAAACTTGCGCTAAACGGTTATGGTATCTCCCATCCCCTGAACACGCCTTCACTGTCACAATATTTTACTTGTTAATTAAATGTGGTATGATGTGCCCTTTTTTAATAGCGGCTTTTATGAGAACCCTATGCACTCCACGATGGCCTTCACACCACCCTTCACCCTGCGTCTGGGTGACTAATTCGAGGCACAAACCTCTGAGTAAGTGTCATGGTCAGGCCCTTGTCACATGGACCACGTCTTTTGTCAAACCTACTGTCAGCCCACTAGCTCCCATTGCCGCTATCTGTAATACCAAGTCGATGACTTCCCATGCCCTAGTCTCTTGTGTGCCAACCCACGAATGTTGTGGTACTGCTTGCTTTGACTAGGTTCAATGTTTGTAGGTTGGCGCACAAGAGACTAGGGCATGGGAAGTCATCGACTTGGTATTCGAGATAGAAACAGGAGCTAGTGGGCTGACAGTAGGTTTGATAAGAGAAGTGCTCCATGTGACAAGGGCCTGACCATGACACTTACTCAGAGGTTTGTGCCTCGAATTAGTCACCCAGACGCAGGGTAGGGCCAATAACGCCTCGGATGGTACAGATGAAGTAAGTGGCAGGAGTCGAGTGAAATATGTGAACCAGGGAGAGGGCAGACGGATCTTACGGGGCAAGAGAGAGACTGTGGTAAG